GTCTTCCTGATAACGTAGTGCAAGCTGAATCCTTGGGTTCCTTTAAATCAGAGCTAGATAAGATTTTAACAACTCTGAGCTATTAGTCAAGTTCTCCCCGAGCGAGCTAGATGGGCCGAATGGCCTCCTCTCGTTTGTATAGTTCTTATGTTCTTATGTTCTTAACATGATATCATATTATATATCAATGTTAGTGGTATTTAATATTTGTTAGTGTACATGCATACAATATCTTTAGTAGTAAGAGTTGTTTTTGGCAAATTAGCAAACAAACAAATAAGTAGTGGGTTTCTCAGTGACCAGCCTCGTTCACAGGTTTGCTGTCTCTGTGACTGTAGAATTTCACATTTCTTACAGTAACTTTTCAGTTCCTGTTAACTTTTTTAAGTTTTCGCAGGGATCTTCTGCCCTTAATCTTTGTAAATGTGAAGAGGAGATTGTATTGTGAATTTTACAATAGTGGTTATTTAAGGAATAATTTTTGCATGATATATTATACCATAATTGGTGTAGTTATGAATATTGCTAGTACTGTCACAGAATGAACAGTACTGATTCTATTTCCCAGTTCTGAGCATAAGACTTCTCTGTCCACAATGGCAAAAAAAGTTATGTCTTTGGCCCAAGACAAAGTGAAATACCATGAATATGATAATATGATCAAATGAAATTTATGAACAATTTTTGAATCTTCTCTCACCATGTATCCAGTACCAGGTCATAATGCCCACTGGCAGACTTGGGGGGTGAGGGGGCACCTGCCCCCCCCTGGTGCACCAGGGTGCCCTACTGACTGCCCCTCAAATGGTAAAAATTAATGATTTACGAATGATTACTAATGATCCCCCCTCCCTCCCCCCAAAGTCCAGCAGTGATAATGCCATCTCTCTTTAATTACTGTCAATTAATTAAAAAGTGTACAGTGTCCTGTGTAGAGCTGGCACAGTTCTGTAGTCAAGAAAAAATGAAATACAGTGTAAATAAATCATTGAGATAGAGTACAAATAACTCACTGTAAATAAATCATTGCCAAGTGCCAGCATAATAGGTCTATTTGATATTTGCGATCACATTGTAGGATCTCCATTACTTTACATTAAAGGGAGTGAACACCTATACCTAGGCATTTTCACATTCACAACAACAACAGTCCCCCAAAGATCACATCAGCAAAACATATTTCCACCAAATGCTGCATATTGCATGTGACCTGTGCATTATACTCGCATGACTGGGAGATGAATAGCTTTGCTTTTATCCATGGTATTTATAAACTCTGATGAGCATCTGGGTGTGTCAGTATATTTGTCCCCAATTTAATGTTTCAGCAAACCTTCAAATCCTGAGAGACAAAATCAGAAGCTGCCCAGTCTGGGCCTCCATCTGTTCTCCCTAGTGGACAGGTCCTCATCGTACCTATAAGAAGCACACACACACACACACACACACACACACACACATGTAGGGTAAACATATCCTTATGGGGACCACTCATTCATTTCAATGGGAAAAATGCTAATGCTAACTATGACAACCTTAACCCCTACCCTGCCCTAACCATAACCATAAGTAACCTAATAAAATACAAGAGTTTTTGCATTTTTAGTTTTTTCATAGCAGTCACCGATTTTTATAAAATAGAGTTTTCCCTTATGGGGACCAGGAAACCGGTCCCTATAAGGGGAAAAAAATGGATATTTATCACGTTATGGGGACATTATGTCCCCATAAGGATAGGTACAGTAAACCTGCTCGCACACACACACACGCGCACACACACACACACACACACACAGGTTTGTAATTGTAATTCATTTCTATTGGAAAAACTCTAATCCCAACATGACAACCTTAACCCCTACCCAGCCCTAACCTTAGCCATGAGTAACCAAACAAAATCTTCATTACATTCACAGATTTTTTGGGGGCCTGAAAAATGGTCCCCACAACATCAAAATAACAGGTTTTTATCACATTGTGGGGGACATTTGGTCCCCCACAATGTAATATTAACTTAATCCACACACACACACACACACACACATACAGTACTGTGCAAAAGACTTAAGCAGCCAAAGAAAACTTTCAAAGCCATTTCCCTGATTTATCTGGGTAGTAAGCGTATATTTGATCAAAACAAAAAACACAATTTAGCATTAGAACATATGCAAATGAACAGTAACACAATAAAAAACTCAAGAATTTCTTCTGTTCTCCAAAAACTTACTGATATCTAGTTGGATGGCTAGATGAACACCGCTTCAGTTCCCAGACCTCTCCTCAGGGGCACCCAGCTAATCCATGTATCTATGAAATTTCACCACCTCACTCTTGGATTAGTTTAAAAAGTCAATGAGGTACCGATTAGCATATGATATGTGCTAGTAGTGGAGTCAAGACATACATGGGTGTAGTAGATAAATTCTGTAATCATTGTGGTGATTTAGGAGGTGCCTTGGAATGGCTAAGCTGACACACTTTGACAGGCATAATATAGCTTTACACCAACATGAAGATCATTTAAACATTTAAACATCTTCATTGACTGCTTAAGACTGTAGGTGCAGTGTGTACCTCTGCAACAAACATTGGTTCAAATCTCATGGCTGGTACAGTAATTACTGCTGACCCATTCAGCGAGGCCTTCAAAACCAGCTGTTTGAGGGTTGCTGGATAAATGGCTGAGACTTCTCTTGTACCAGAAGTTTCTCTGAAATTCTATTGTATATTGCATTTTGTTATACCTTTTCATTGTATAATGGGTTCATTCTGACTAGTCTCTCAATAAGGCTACACTTGTGAAATGTCTAAGCTACTAGCCATGGATAAACTGGCTCCCATATAAACACTGGGTGGTGGCACATATTTACAGCTTCTTTAGAATTGACTTCAATGTGGTCCAAGTAAATATTCACTGTCACTGAGATCTTGCAGCTCCCCTGATGTACAGCTTTACACTCCTTTGCCCTGGAGTTGTTTTGGTTTGAAAATGAGTGTTAATAGGTTATATTTGCTACAGTATGAAAGTGGAACCTTATAGACATATGTACACAAATGTACCTAATCTGAAATTACTCAAACAACTTTGGTAACACTTTACTTAAGGCCATGTTCTTAGTCATTTATAAACACATTGTCACATTCATAACAAATAATAATGCCTTCATAAAGCATTACAAACATGGCTGTAAGTATTTATAAAAAGGCATCCCACATTATAGCCATGTGTATTATGCATTACGAATACTTTATGAAGCTCTCATCTATATTGCACAATAAATACCTTTATAATGCATTATAATGGTTGGTATAAGCATTGAGGATGCTTTGCACTGAATTATAAAGGTATCTATAGTGTATTATGAATGACAGCTTCATAAGGCAGTCATAATGCATAATAAACATGGCTATAATGTGTTATGCCTTTTTTAAATTATTTATAGCCATGTTTATAATGCTTTACTAGTGCATTATAATCCATTATGAATGTGTTCATAAATTACTAAAGACATGGCCTTAAGTAAAGTGTTACCACACCTTTTATTGCACTTTATTCCACCACTATGTGCATTGTCAGACATTTCTTGAATTTGTACAACTTAAGAACTACGGTCTTTTATAACATGTTGAGGTATACAATTGAAAGCTTGGATGAAACTTTACAAGACAGACTTCCTGATTTATGTGAACACTGATTGTTTATCATTCATTCATCAGATGTCCAGTTCTGACACCCCCTCAGATCGCTTTGACCCAAATCACCATGACAGCGTGGTGGTGGTCATTAATGGCACTGAGCTCATTTCTCCTGCTGTTTTATCTGTCACACCCGGCTACCACCTTTTGAAGTGAAAGCAGACGAGGGGAGGGCTGATTGAGAGGCCAGGGATAAAACTCACAAAACACCCTAATTGGAAGCAGCTGCCTTCTGAACTCCTTCCAAGAAGGACACATGATTTGTCTCAGTTATGGAAACAACTGGACACACATACACACACATTAGGAAGCTGAACAGAGGTGGGTTCAGCTGCAACACCACCCAGTATCAACACCGAAGGGATCTAGCCGTTAGCAGTTAAAGAGAAACACAGTTGTCATGAGAAAACAGCAATTTCAGTATCACCATAGCAACTTCAGAACTAGGTCAGCATGACAAGCAAAAATATGTGCTCATAAAATGCTATTTTTTATGCACTTGATCCATTGCAAACTTCAGAACATTTCTCCCTGAAAGGATTTTCCCATCTGACCTTTGCATTATTTTCGTCAAACTAAAGTGAAAACATTATAGTTACCGTCCTTCTGCCGAGACAGACACTTCTCTTTTGCCAATGCCAGAACTAGACAATAGACTGGGTTGGGCTGCTACTGTATTAGGCCCCAAGAATCAGATAGAGGGTACTTCCTCCCTGTCTTGGATGCCCTCCAACAGGTTGTGGAGATAAAGTGGTTTCTTATCAAGATCTTTAAGCTGGTCAAGTTCCAAAAGTCCTCTAAACTTTGAAGTCACCTTGCCCGTGACCTGAAGTCTCTTACAGATTCCCTTGCAACAACTAAGGTAATATTTTTCTAAAATTTTAAAGATAAATAGCATATTTCCTGGGGTTGCTTGTCTTGGGAAACCACATAAAAATCTTTGTTTACATTTTCATTTTTTCTTGCCTTATCTGGCATGCCCAGGTCAATTATTTACTAATGTAGGCATGCTGTCATGTATTGGCACATAAAAATATTACAATGCCCCTCTGCCAAATGCGAACGTCTCGTCTCTCTTAAGGGATGTTTCCAAAAACACTGTGCTTTTCTAAAAGTGGGAGCACTTTTCGTTATCAGTGGACTAAGAGTCTTGTGCAGTAGCTAATGTTTGAATTGACTCATTCCTGTGTTATCACTGAGAGTGTAAAATTAAACTATATCTAGACCAAATAATCATTTCGCAAAGTGCAGAAGCACTAGTCAGTGCTTTCATATAGAAATGGCTTCCCAATCGCTGCAATTTGTTAAATATTACAGCTTATTTAGTTTGGGGGCATTTTGGTCAGGGAGTGGTTCATGAGGTCAATTAGCATGTGTAACATTTTCTTAATTATGCGGCAATTTTTTTCATATTTATTCATATTCATTGTGAAACTGAATCACAAGGAGTGGAATATCTATAACATGACACTTATTTTATTCAAATACCTACTTCTGTCATTTTTTTCTTTTTATTTACATTGTTTACATTTTTATTCTTTACACTCCTTTCATATTAAATTTTATATTCGATTTGCTTATATTTTGTTTGTTGTTCATACTCTGTTTAATTTATATTCTGTCTTATTTTTTTCACATCTTCTATCTTATTTTTTTGTATCCTTCCTGACTTTTTCTTTCCTTCGCCAACAAGGATAATCTTCCAATTTCGTTGTACCTTGTGCAATGACAAAGGAATTCATTCATTCATTATGGCAATAAATAAACATGCAAATTACGATTCAGTGACTTTGTTGGTTGGTTTTGTTAGAGGATGAGAAGCAACTGGCCCCTTGTCTGAAAAAATTAGCCAAATGGTATATGATTATGTGTGTGTGCATTAGGTTTATATTACATTGTGGGGACCACCATTTGGTGACTACTAGCATAGATATACCAGTTCACCCATATATCTTCTATACCTGCTTGTCCTATGCGGGGTTGCAGGGGTCCTGAGCTTATCCCATGAGCTATGGGTGCAAGACAGGGAGTAACTTGGGATGGGGTGCCAACCACCATTTGAAGTGGACCATTAATCACCAGAACACGGTACCAGCACCTCTTTGTTTCACTTCAGAATAAGGGCACCTCTCCATATCTGCTGGACAGTACATGCACCTGCTACTGAATAACAAGGGGAGTACCAGTACCTGCTAGTGAATACAAAGGGGAGTACCAGTACCTGCTAGTGAATGCAAAGGGGAGTACCAGTACCTGCTAGTGAATACCAAGGGGAGTACTGGCACCTGCTACTGAATAACAAGGGGAATTCTGGCACCTGCTACTGAATACCAAGGGGAGTACCAGTACCTGCTACTGAATACCAAGGGGAGTACCAGTACCTGCTACTGAATACCAAGGGGAGTACCAGTACCTGCTACTGAATCCCAAGGGGAGTACTGGCACCTGGTTTTTTCCCCACTTCAAACACTGACACCAACCCATCTGAGAGAGATGCAAGTACAAATGCAATAATATACAGCAATGGTTCTCAACTGGTGTAACCTCAGGACCTACATTTTACCTTGGTCATTAAGTCACAACCCAAATTAGTTTCCCAAAAAAATAGTGCAGTAATGGTAAATAGAACATTGCACAGAAACAATGCCTTCATCTACTGTTAAAACACAAAATAAAACACAGAAAATGAACAATGGTTCTGATTTCACCACTTCTTTATCACTGATCACTAGGCCTACTGATTGTGCCTTTACAGTAAACACAAAATGAAATAAATGAACAATACACTATGATAAGTTAAGCTACTAACCACAGTCCAAGCTCAGTAATACTAAACTTTAAGGGTAACGGATATTTGGAGCTAATTGAAACTACTGAGAAAGTTAGGGATGCTTTTTGTTCCTGATAAGACTCTTATTGTCTGAGGTGATGGTAGACATTTTCAGTTCTAACTGACATGACCATGGTAATGGCTAGCTGATGGCATCTGCAGTCATCAAAACTAAAAAAAAAAGTAATTTAAATATTTATTTTTGACTGCACGCTCCATGACCCAATAAAATGGCCCTGCAACCCAAGTCCCACCGGTAGAAGATGACAGGGACAGTGCCTATCTGATCCTACCCTTTGTCTCTTCCTTTACACAGGACCTTGGGGATGTAAGGACAGTGTCATCGATGGACCTTGAACCCTTATGGGCACAGCCTGTCCAATACCAGATGTTCTGGGGAGCAGCAGCACTGTGTCTGGGCTGGTCAGGGGCAAAAACAGATCCCAAGGATAGGCGCTCTGATCTGGTCACAGACAAACATCAGGGAAAAATAGAAAACCAATAAACAATCAAAATAGGTGAGACTGGTCTCTGGCCAGCCTCAAGCCCATAAGCTGAGGGTTACAGCCTCAGAGCCACAGGCTCTACCCAGTGGGCAATGCGGAAAACTAGAGAGCAAGAAGAACACACTAGGACTGAGGGGCTATGAGAGAGAGAGAGGGGAAGGTGGGAAGACCAGCGACACCTGCTGGCCAAACAGGGAAAAGACATAAAGGGCATGGTCCGATGGGCACTGACCCTGACAGAAAAACTATACAATATATAATAATGCCTTTATGATATAAAACAGGATCCATGCGTCTGTTGGCTGAGAGTGGGCCGCTGCAGATGACTCTGTCACGACATTGGATCACGCCTGGATTTGCTAGCTTAGGGCTCGATGTCCCTCAGGGAGAGGCAGATGGAAAAGAAAAAAATGTGCTAGGTCATACAAAAAGATGTTAGGATATAAAGATGCAAATTTAGCTACTAAATGTCCCTGGTGAATTTAAGTATGGCGGAACAATAAAAGGAGGGGGAAAAAAAAAAGAAAAGTGGAAAAGCAGGAAATAAATGCTCCCATAAGGGAGACCTTAGAGCCAAAAGTGCTGGATTGAGCAATGACACACAGTGATTGGATGACAGCACTGACGGCAGAAATTTAAATATTGGTGATTTGTTAGAATGTGGGTACATTACTCAAAAAGCAAGCAGTAGACGGCCCTGCAGCTAACACTGTCATACCCTCACCGCTGACTTCAAGCGAGGTTCATGGTGCTCAGACCCAGAGTGTAGCCAGAATAAGGCTGGAGGTGCACTGCTGCAATGTGCCAGGATCCATTTTAGTGGAGCTGTGACTTTTACCCCAGCTGGGGTCATGAACTCCAGCCTGGGGCATTTACTGACAGACGTGCAATGAATGCTGCTTTGCAGTTAGCACAGCGGTGAGAAAGGCACTGCATCACTCTGGACCGGAGATTATCCCCAGCTAAACTGTTTATTAAATTAACTTTGCAGCTGTTTTCGGTCTTCTGAAGACTCCTGGTGCTCTGGTTTCATTCAGGCAGGTTCAGCCTTTCTCTGTCGCCAAAGGTCAGGCAGAGTGGCGCAATTCAAGGAGACACGCAAGGATGGCAGCTCATTCCAAAACCAAGCGCACAAGTTTCCGTGAATTTCTTCAAGGACCTTGATGGATTTGTTCATTGCTTGAGACAGGAGAGTGAGATTTGATTCTCAGCACAGTTAAAATAAAGAAAGCTGTTCACACATATTACAAAGTGTCTGTGTCCTATTTTAATTTAACTACAAATATAAAAAATGTAATATACTCAGTGTGTCATATTATTAAACCTAATGGTATGTTAAGACGATGCAGCAGATCATTGAACATGTAATCAACATAGGACCAATTTCAAAGTTATGACTTGAACTAGGCCCATGCAGTGCTACAAAAAACATCTCTCTGTTGGCTCTTCCTAAATGTTTTGTGTGCATTGGATGCTTTTATAGTGTAGGCAATAACTTTCGTTTTTATTGTCTTTCTAGTCGTTTACCCTTCTGTTACTTTAATCCAGGGGTACCCAATCTTATCCGCAAAGGGCCAGTGTGTATGCGGGTTTTCGCTGCAACTCCTTAATTAGATTACTAATTAGAGGACTGATTGGCTGAAAGAATCCTCACACCTGGGTTTGAACAGCTGACCTACAAGTTATCCCAAAAACCTGCATACACACCGGCCCTTTGTGGATAAGATTGGACACCCCTGCTTTAATCTATCATAAACTCCACGCGAACTCAGTGAGGCCTCGTTTTATTTATACGTGTGGCTCCTTTTTAGTTAGTAAATGAAACTGTGTGAGCGTATTGATTTTTACAAGCAAGTTAATTGTACGACGCATTACAAGTGATTTTCAGACGTGTTTCCAGAAGAAGTTGAAGATCTCCTTCATTAGTGGCACACTTCAAAGATCGAATGATGCTGTTACAGACAGTACAAAAAATTCATCACTAAAAAAGCCTCTTCCCTAGAAAGTCATAAAATAAATTGACATTTAACTCAATTTAAATAACCTACGTTTATTTTTGAAACGTTTTAAACGTGTGGCGGTAGGGGGCGCCTGTGTCTCCGTTCGCCTCTCAGTCTGACTTGCGGCAACCCCTGATTACTGCGACCCCCAGGCGCACATCATGTACTAGTACAGAGCAGAAAGTTTTTATCTTATTTGCTGTGCTAAATACGGACTACCTCGAATTATCTCCGCCGATATTAAATTAGCTTTTGGTATAATATTCAGTTCCGGAATGTTATCAAAAGGTGTGTATCTAAATTTCAATAAGAATCACTTTTAAAATAAAAGAAACCCCAAGGCTCTTCCCAAGTTTAATTGTACTGAGTACAATTACGTGTCATGAAAACTCTGGAAATGTTGTAAAGAACATCACACAAGTAGGTCTACCTATGGTGAAATAAGCTACAAGAAAATAGTTTCATTCTTCAATATTTATGTACATATTTTTTCTCAAATCGAAAGCCACATTTGTACTTTTCAGCAGCTAAGTAAGCCGTGAATTATGTACCAGCGATTATTAGAATTTCATTTATAGATGAATCCGTCTTGTAATAATTTAGGGTTTACATACTCGGGGCCCGCTAAAGATAACGCTGAAGTCACTATCTATGGCTGTTACCATTTTAATCCTATAGCGGAACCCAATAGCGGGCTGGGTGGTGTCTCGCCGCCTTTATCTCAGCCGCGCCTGATAATGGGGGTTCCACTCCGCTTTTTACCTCGGCCGTGCCCCTCATATCCCCACTCAGATCGGAGTTTTAGCGACTCTCCCTGGTAATGCAGGTTGAGTTTCGGAGAGAAGAAAGCGGGACCTGGAGTAAGGACTTCTCTCTGACATACTCCGTTCTTTAATCTCAATACTTTTTGTACGCATTTTAACAGAAACTAAAGGGAACCCGTAAGTTTTGGATGACCGTCCCCGCAGTGCTTTGGACAAGGAACGACGGCGGACTGCTGTTAAAAGGAAAGCGTGGAAAAAAGTAACGAAATAACTTTTGTCAGGAGTGAAGGACTTCGGTTTTTTTCTGTTCCCGGCGTATGAAGCCTGATCTGGGTAGAAGAGGAAAATGGGAACTTTGCATAGAAAGTCCGGACGTGCCGCCGTATTAGTTGCATTAATACTTCTCCTTGATGTAAGTGAATGTTAATCCATTTCTTTTCCTATAAACCTTAACCAGATTCGGGATGGACGGTGCTGTTTCCCCCTTTTCATTGCTGCCTGCTGAGTTTATATGCTATTATATCACATGCGGGCTTCGCTGGGCGAACTACCCACATGAGTTTGCTGCATTTGGAAAAACATGAACTGTTCATTAACTTTTTCATGTGCACAGTAGTGGTGATAGAGCCAAGCCTTTCAGTTACTAGTCTTTATTAATAATATTTTTACAGTATATTCCGGAAAAAAAAATGTTTTCTGCACTGACTGTCAGTCGTTTATCATGCAAAAGAAACATGTTGTGCTACTTTTTAACGAAGGGAAAATGGTTAATGCGTGGCTGTGGGGCTGACTTGAGCTAATTTTATCCATAGGAACAGGCTATTCATAGTTTGTCTCGCTGGCGACTCGATGCCTTTTAATTTAATTTTATTTCAGTGTCCACCCGTCCAGTCTCGCATAGAAACCCGAAGGATGTATGGCTTAGCTGTGAACACTAATACTGAAACTGCGAGTTAACTCAACTGCGGCTTTGATTTATTACCTTAGCCGGGTTAAAGTCTTACGGTGCGACGCAACCTCGGCATTTAGTGCAATACTTCAGATTTGAAACATTTGTTCCCTTGAGTTTTGGAAAAACAGACAAGCAATTCTGTTATACTTAAGCGTAAAAGGTTTCTTTCGATTATGTATATTCAGTGCTATTATTTGAAAGTTTTTATAGAATACAGGCATGTGAACGATATATATATAAATGTTATTAAACTGAAACTACAAAGCAATATCTGATATTGGTGAGATCACGTTAGTTTTGTTATGTCGTAGGCTTAATGTTAAAATAGACTGTAATTCCAGTTCATAGATCGTGTAATTTTTTTTTCGTTTGTTTTATTGATTCTGTTAGAAATACTGGACGTTCATCCATATTCTAACCGCTTATCCTGCACAGGGTGGCGGGGGAGATTGGGAATAAATGACGAATTAAATTTCCAACAGATGAATTCCTCATATTTACGTGTTATTTTCTAAAACATTATAAACAGCCACGTTTATATAATGACAGTTTAATTTTTGTTATTTCTAAAGACACTTGTTCAGTCTAATCAATGAGAATATTCCTCTAAAATTGTACTGGCAAAGTTGCAGTAAAACTTGAACTATCACAAACGATGGCTTCTAATCAGCCTTGGAAAGCACGACGTGTTCTGTGGATTTTGTCTATGCGAAGGACATGTTTTGCGACAATATATTCAATGATCTGGGGGGGGGGCGTTGTTCCGTCCTGTTGATAGTGAGGGGTTTTCTAGTAGCAAATGATGTATTCACTTCACAGATACCGCGATTTAACGAGCACGTATTTTGAGTGTTAACAGAATATAAGCCGCTGCAGATTTCGATTATCGGCGTTTAAAGGACACGTTTAGCATCGAGCCATGCAGACATATGCTATGGTATATTCTTATACTCTGCCAGTAAAGAACTGGAGAACTCTTAAGATAGAAGGAAGATTATCACATGATCATGATGAAGTAATTGTCAATGATTAAGCTTCTGATGAGCTGCGGTTTGCCCACCGCCGACCACTCCCATTGTCAAACTAGTTGCTAATGTTTTGCTTACTTACCATATTTCTTACCGGTTACTCACAACATCCTCTCATGAAAAAAAACTGTCAGCTTTATTACTGATATTAGCACTGAAGTAATTTTATCTTTGCTTACAATTGCAACACTGTTTTACTGCTTCTGTTTTATTTCTGATTTAAGTAGTTGGGGAGCACAATAGGAACATAATTGAGTTATCTAGATGCTAGAGCATCTGTTTTGGCATTTTGAATTGGCAGTGTTATGTGCTGGATTGTTCTTAATTAAGTTAAGCACAGGAATCCAATGCTATGCCTGTTGTCCTATAAAAATGTCAGATCAGTAACATAATGGAATTGTCCAACAAAAATCTCAGACAATGCTGCCATATAAACGTGTCTGAGCGACCCAGCCAGCTGTCATTCACCACTGTGCAAGCTTACTAATTACCTCTAAATTGTTTTGTCAGTGGTCTTATCAAGACATGCATTAAGGTTATGACTATTGATTTTCTTTCTTATTTTCCAATCTGCTCAAACAGTGTCCCTTAGCAAAAGAAATCCACATCCACGCTTATGAAGTCGCACGTTAAACCCTCTCACGAAGTAACCACAGCATGCAAGGAATTGATTATTGAGTGATTATTGGTTAGTTGAGTAGAATATTGCACTTGCATGGTATTGATATCTGTTTTCTTAACAGCTCGAACATTATCAAGGTGAACTAGTTAGCACCACGGAGATGAGATCGAGCCTCTGTTATTATGTTTGGCTGGTGGCAACGCTTGTAGCACCCTTTGGTTGAATCGCATCCCCTGTGAATAGCCCGATTTAATGAGCCCATTGTTTGATTTCACTAGTGTATGGCGGGTCGTGTTCACTCCAGTGGGTAGCCCCCCCCATCCCCAGCTAGGCTGTCCCAATGATCTGGCGGCAGTAAGTGGAGAGATGACATAGGCCGGCCTGGATTGCGTCGGCCTCGTGGGGCTTGTGTCATTGTCGCAGCACATCGGGTCTCTTAGCGCGGCGGAGTCTGAGCCATGTGACCTCAGCCGTGGTCACACATGCTCCCAAGGCACCTCGATATAGATCCCCAGTCCCCCGAACGCTTTAGAGGGCAGTATATAAAATAAGCAATGAGATCATGTTCTGAGCTCAACTTCAGTTCACCTCGCACTTGGTATGACTTAATGGCCCTTTCTGGGCTCCACCCCCACTGTCAAGAGTGCAGTCGTCCCCCTGCTCTGTTATGTGTCGTTCCTGGAGGATAGGGCTCAACTTTTGTGGCCATGGAAACGTTGAGGCCAGATGCCTGAGGATTAGCTGGTACTAAAACGAGGAGTCGAAGCCTGTTTGATTTCTAAGGACATCGCAGCCACTTCGCTCTGGTTAACACCAGCGCACACTCTGCACCACAAATTATGGATTTACTTGTGGGAAAAAAAAAACATAATGCTTAGATTCTGTGTGCTTTGTGGCTGTGCCGTGTAGCGACTAGCCTATAATCAAAGGTTACTGCCACAAATAAAGACACGAGCCTGATTGGTGGTTTTTTTATATATCCTTCTCCATATTTGCACAAGCTTCCTTGGCGAGTCACATTTGGCTAATTTGTAACCTGGTGGCAGAGTCACACAATGAGTCAAATGAGGCCCCCAGAAGCAGAAGGAATGAAGGCAAACAGGGGGGGGTGGGGGGTGGGGCGGGAGCTAATGCAATTGGAATAGCTCACAAACGGCGGCCCTGGGATACTCACCTAATCTGGGGGAAGCCTGGACCTGATAAACATTGCAGGGGTGAAATCCCTCACTCCTCCCCCTCCCCACCCCCCAAAGCTCGGGTACCTTGGCCCTCACTCAAACGCGTCATCATGTTCGGTGTGTGGATACAGCCACCCATTTACCACCCCGCACGGGTCACCATGCACAGGGATGCCTCTACGCTGATTGTCCCACAGCAGACGTTTCTGTCATTTCAGGTTAGCGGTAATTGAATTTCTGCAGGCCCTGTCTGTGATTTCACTTGGTCAGCCGTGCATAACAGGGTGCCACCTTTAATCAGATAACATTTACCAGGCTTCTGGGCAAAAGCAATACTGGCATTTGATTTTACTTCTTCTTCCAAAAGCATAATATTCTCTGGCCCTCTCGCCCTTCTTTATACAAATACTGTATGATCAGCTGGGGGAATGAGCCGTGTGATTGGAGATGAGGTAAAAATATCTGCAAATACGGGGATAGCCATGAAAAACAGGTTGCTTAGGAACTGTTTATGGGTGGTACAATAATAAATTCCACTTGTCTTGACTTGTGTAAGCTCTAATTAAATACCCTTTAAGTACACAACTGCCTCAAGTTCCCTAAATCATTCTAATAATTATCAGTCTCCATCTGTTTGTATCTGGAGAGACACTGTTGAAACAAACAGCCTACAGAAGATTTTGCTTGTTTGTTTTTCCCATTTCCTGGTTCGATGAAGGTTGCCGGGATCGGAAGAGTACGGCATGGCGCCGGAGTTCTCAGTTTGTTTTGTGTGTTTCCACTCCTCTGCGATCAGTCCGCACAGGCCTTCCCGCACTGCTGCGGGCCCGCTGTTTAATCTGCCAGGGCGCGCTGTGCTTAAGCTGGGCTTTCATCTGCAGTGATTCTGCGGGGGTGAGGCGGTCCAAACACAGCTGCTTCCCAGCTGTGGCGGCCTGCGTGTGCGGACATGAGGCGATCATTTACTTGTTGTGTGCAGATGGGGGGGGGGTCGCATGACTGTATATGCGGGGTGCCCACCCAGACTGTCACACAATACTTCTCCGTCACTCTTCAGAAAGGGTGGCATTCTCACATTTGGGTGGAGAGGGGGACCAAGGACATTATCCCGTTCCCAGATGAGGCTCGGTTCAGCCAGTCACTTTGTGTTCAGTGTATAAAGTTAACAATCAGTTCAGTCCCTAAGTACATGTAACATATTTGCTCTCTATGCAGTGTGATTTAACAGGTGGAGTGACTATCCAAAACTCTTTCTGTGTTGCTTTGGATGTCGTCTGAAAGCAATTCTGCTCTTCTAGCTGCCAGAAGGCAAGCAACTAACATAGAAAGTAGATACCATGCTGACAGAATATCTTGAGACTAGTTCAGTGAAAATATTTCAGATTTATTGGTTTTATAACAAAAATCATTACTTTATTCATTTTTTACAAAAATATATATTACATTAGAAACATTCATTTCAAGTAGTAATCAATTGAAACCCATATTATAATTCTAAAAGAGCTCTTCTCTAAAAAGTTCATTGACCAGGATCACTGGGTGCTTTTTAATTAGTAACACCTTTGCAATAACATAAAACACCAAACATTTGTGTTTAGTATCCCTTTGGGAGCCAGTGCTAGTTGCAGTTAA